AAGAGGGAGAAGCAGACCCCCCGCCGAGCGGGGAGTCCGATGCGGGGCTCGATCCCAGGACCCTGGGATCATGACCTGAACCGAAGGCAGACGCTAAACGACTGAGCCACCCAGGCGCCCCCTGGTATTTTTATTTTTTAAAGTATCATTCTTCATGGCTATAGGCTATTCTAAAATGTTAGACACACTGCAGCTTCGCTTTGGCTTTGTTATTTAGCCAGAACATGCTATTCAACTTTGGTTTGGGCTTTATCTTTGAAGCCCTAATAGATGAATATGTACTTCAATAACATTTCTGACATCTCTGAACTTGAGTGTGAGCGGTGATTGTGTAATTGCTTATTTACCATCATAAAATATCAGTGTAACAATACCTGTAAGATGAACATATCATGTTATTTGGATTTGTTGTTAATATTGGCATATTGGGATACTAGAACATTCAAATATGGGTAAGTTTTATTCTAGATGTAATTTGAATGAAAAATCTATATGCTTTATTTAATTAAATCTCTTAGTCAAATGAAATATAAACATGTTTATTTTTGCAAGAGTAAAACTCTGCATTAATTAATATGATCGTGAGAACTATAATTTTAACACATAAAGATAATTACTAAGAAATTTCAGGTAAATAAATAAGGAAAGAGTGTCAGTTAATACGCATAATAAGAGAATATATTAGCCGGATTACTTTAGAGAAAACTATATGCTTTCTGAACCTACAAACACTTACAACATTAAATTAATTATAACAGGGGTGCCTGGGTGGCTCAGCTGGTTAAGCGACTGCCTTCGGCTCAGGTCATGATCCCAGGGACCTGAGACGGAGCCCCGCATTGGGCTCTCTGCTCAACAGGAAGCCTGCTTCTCCCTCTCCCCCTCCCCCTGCTTGTGTTCCCTCTCTCCCTGTCTCTCCCTCTCTCTCTGTCAATTAAATAAATAAATAAAATCTTAAAAAAATAAAAGCTTTAAGAAAATAAATTAATTCTAACACAAGGTAGAGAAATATAGAATAGACAATATCAGAATTCTAATCTTTGTAGAATTTTTTGGTGTTCTAAAATTCATAACATTAAACAAAATAGCCTGTAAAAACTATATTTAGTTTTAGTTATTTAGTTTGGTTTAGGTCATGAGTCTCTCAAGAAAAGGTTCTATTTGGAAATTCTTCACATTTTATGAGAGTAAGTAAAAAGCAGAATGTCAGTTTTACTTCTTGAAATGTCATGAAGAGAAAAACTCCAAATCATGAAAATCAAAATTCATCATAACTGTCTTCAATCCAGACATAGTATTAATAGCCAATAGTTATTTTCTCTCTATATTCTCATTTAATGCTCCCAGCGGACCCTTGAAGTGTGGGTATTATTAACTCATTCTAGAGATGAAGAAACCAAGACTGAGAGATTAAGCAATTTATCCAAGGCCACACAGCAAGGAAGTGAGAGAGCAGGACTTGAACTCAGGCAATCTGATTCAAATCTGTGCTCTTTACACCAAGGTGTCATCTCTTAAGTAAGAGATACCTGAAAAATACTTAGACGGGGTTCCTGGCACGAAGCAAGCATCCAAAAAAAGCTAGCTCTTATCATCCAGTTGCTCACATGGGGTGGGGAGTGCTGGAATGAGAGAGGGAGAGGAACTGATGGGTTGTTCACCTTTTACTCTCCCAGCCTCTGGGGGGTGGGGGGTGGGGGGTGAAGGGGGTGCACATGGCCCCAGGGAGCCAAGAAGCCAGCTTCAGCCAGGAGGGTCTAAGATAACAAAAGCCTCCACTGAAAGCCTCAAGTCTGGCTGTTGAGCTCCTGGAGGCCAGGCACCTGCTGGAGCACATAGGCTCCTGTGACTGGGCTCCACCATCAGCTTCCTTCTCACTTTGTAAGAGTAACCATGGAAATGGCTGCAACATTACAGTTTCTTTAACATTGGGTGCATTACTTTCTAGCTCTGCTGGGGACGACTGTGGTGGGCTGGAGATTTCAGTGGAGTGGTATGTCATCACAGCACTGGGTTTTGGGGTGCTTTGTACAACTAGCTATTCCCCTAGATGAAAAGAGGGAAGGTTACCTAGGGTTGCTTAGAGGATACTTGTAAGCATTCTACAGAGAAAGCTTGGTAAACCCCAAAGCTGTTTTCTTTAGAGCAGAGAAGGTTTGGAAATGTACGGATTTTTCTGGGATTAGCCCTACGTAGGCACAAATGAAATTCTTTCCTAAGGGCAATCACTGCCAGTTTACTGTAATTAACTAAGAACTGCAGACTGCACGTCACTGAGAAGCCAGTGAGTAGGAGTTTGGGGCCCAGATGTTAAAGATCCAGAGGAAATTGAAGCAGTGCTAATAGCAGTTGTGGAAGCTGAGACAGCTGCTTCACTTGTGCCTAAGTGTTCACAATTTATTAACTGTCTTCTTTACAGTGCAGCCTTTAAAATGTGTGCAAATGGTACTCATGAATTGTTAACATTCATGTTTTGTGACTTTGGTGGGGTTATATACTTTATTTTTAAAGCTCCATAATGTGTCTTTCTTTTGCCTGTGACTAGGGAAAGTCTGGCTGATTAAGTCACATGACCTTAACCTCAGACACCGTGTAGCTGAGTCTACCAGATGTCAAGACATAGAATCTAGTAGAAAACACACTACCTCTAGAATACCAAGAATACCAGCCTTACAAAGTCAACCCTGGAAAATGGTGGCACATATTACCAATTTTCGTTTTTAGGTCCTTCTCCCCCCACTCCTAGGACTCCAGGGATTCCACAGTTACCCCAGCACTTCTTAACTGCTTTGAGGTGGCTCTTGGATCCTGTCATATCACTCCCCCAAATTCCCATCACCATGTCCCCCTTGTGTATGTTCCCTCTCATGGCTCTGCTGCATGACCAGTTGGTCTCGCTGGTTTTGAAACTGGAAAGGTTCAGATGCTCTTCTTGGTCTAAGAAGTATGCAAAGAAGTGTCAAGACACATCCAGTCTGGGTCCACAGAAGTTAGCAGCAGGCCTGCCGGGGAGTATGGTGAGCATCTCCTACATTTTTGGGTCTGTTTTAGCAATTAACTTTATGACACACTTCTATAATACTTTTACAACTTAGAATCATTAATAATTCTGAATAAAATGCAAAATTAATCTGAAATTAAGGCATACAATGGAACAATTTAGAAACAGCTAAAAATTGCTATCATGAGGTACTGAGGTGCATTGTTACGGAGGTAGGCAGCCTCCAAGATGGCCCCCAAGGATCCCAGCCCCCTGGTTTTCACACATTTGTGTCGTCTCCTCCCACACTGTGCCAGAGTTGGTCTGTGGTACCAACAGCATGCAGCATAAATAATGGTGTGTCACTTTTTTTTTTTAAGATTTTTACTTATTTGACAGAGAGAGACACAGCGAGAGAGGAAACACAAACAGGGGGAATGGGAGAGGGAGAAGCAGGCTTCCCGCGGAGCAGGGAGCCCGATGCAAGGCTCGATCCCAGGACCCTGGAATCATGACCTGAGCCCAAGGCAGACACTTAATGACTGAGCCACCCAGGCGCCCCTGGTGTGTCACTTTTGACATTAGGTTATAAAAAATTGCAGTTTCTGTCTTGGGTACCTCTTATTCCCTTGCTCATATTCTCTCTCTCTCTCTAAATCACTACTCTGGGGGAAGCCAGCTTCCATGTTGTGAAGAAACTCAGGTAGCCCATGGAACCAAGCCCATGTGCTGAGGAACTGAGGCCGAAGGACCTCCAGGGCTATGAGAGAATACATTTTTTGTTGTTTTAACCCACCTAGTTTGTGGTAATTTGTTATGGCAGCCCTAGCAAACTAATACAGGTTAATTTGTGAGTCAGCAGGGGATAACAGAGACAATTATGTAACCAAGTTACTCTTTTACTATATTCATTGACTTTTCAATGAGGGAGTATGTGGAAAAGACACTTGTTTCTTCGGGCCATTTTTCTGTGTTTTTGGCAATTTTGCAAAATTTTACCTGGAACTACCTTTTTCATCAGGGCAAGAGGGGTCAGATGTGTTCAGGACATGACACACTGGGGTGCATAAAGCATGCAGCTTCAAACACAGAACCTATGGTGCGGCTATGGGTTTGGGCCCTGCCACACAGCAATTCTGATATGTTTGATTTTGCCTATCTCTATCAAGGGGTGGGGGAGATATTTTATAATTACATGCACTGTGTTAGGGAGTGCATATTTTGACTAGACATCAACAAAACCAAATTTTCTGCTTACAGTTTTACATGTATATGATTGGAAGTGTTTTCCATAGACTAACTATGACTCTGTAAGCTTCAGACCTGGCTTCTCTACTACCTACGTAACGTACCTCCAGTGTTGCTCACTTTCATGTCATGATATGACCTCTGGCCCTGCATCTTTGTGTTGTAAAACGGAATGAGTTAGCTCAGTCGGTGATAGGATTCCTCCTGGAAAACCATTCCTATACCAGGGTGGCTAGAAATGACTTGAAATATACATGAAAGCGACTGATAGACACAGAAAAGCTCAAGCTAAATGTATCCCTGGCTCAACTTCCCCTTAGCAGATCCCCAAAATACCCTTTCCCTGGGAAAGAAGCACTCTTTTCTTTGGCATTATTGCCTTTTGGGTGATACAAGCATAATACTGCCAACGGCCATTTCTATCTCTCTGTGAAGAAATCCTGCCAGAGAGTGAAGCATATCCAAGAAAAGCAGAATTAAGATAAGGGTAGGGGGCGGGAGAGGTGGGGAGATAAAGAGACAGAGACACAGAGAGAGAGAGAGAGAGATTTATTTCTGAAGACATCCCTAGATCCAGTTGTGATTGAAACCAAATTTAGTTTTTTAAGTTACCTGAGCCAAGACATACTAGACTCCCCTGTTTCTGCTTAACTGAGCTTGAACGGTTTGTCTTTTCCTTCTTTTTTCACTATTTCCTCCTCAACTTCTAGAATTTGGCACATGATAGGCACTAAATAAATATTTATTGAATGAGTGGATAAATTGGATTTCTTTTTTTTTTTTTTTAAGATTTTATTTATTTGACAGAGAGAGCACAAGCAGGGGGAGCGGCAGACAGTGGGAGAGGGAGAAGCAGGCTCCCGGCTGAGCAGGGACCCCGATGCGGGGCTCGATCCCAGGACTCTGGGATCATGACCTGAGCTGAAGGCAGATGCTTAACTGACTGAGCCACCCAGGTGCCCCTAAATTTGATTTCTTTAAACCAGAGAAGGCCTTACTAAATCAGGAAGATTTTTAAAAATTAATTATAATCAAGGTAGAATTTAAGTGCTATAGACCATATGCTAAAGGTAGGCTATTGATAAGTACACATAATTAAACAGAGAGGGAACATGCTTGGAGCACCTTAAAAGCTAAGGCCCAGAGAAAGGAATGTGCTGGACATGCTCAGAGAACGTGAGTGCAGTGGTCATGTTGGGTAGTAAGTTTCTGGAGGGTGTGGGGAAGATGTTGAGAAGGTAGGTAGCTCATCTCTGAGAGATGTGGGTGACCAGATGAAGAACTTGGCATTTATTTGGTAGCCAATGGGGAGTCAATGGGTGATTTTTGAGCAGAGAAGTGAAATATTATCTCTTCCATGGACAGTTTCATTTTAACAGAAAACCCAAAGCTTCTACCTAAAAGGATTTACTTTTACATAATAGGAATTTAAGGTCATAGGGCAGGTTAGTGAAGATTTTTGTGAAAGAACTTTCAATAGTCTCAAATTATACCATGTAGGCCACTGCTGTCTTATGACTAGTTATTTTCCTGTGATAATCTGGGGTTAAGTTCAGTCATTTCACAAAAACCTAGTTGCAACTTTTAGTACCCTGAAATAGAAGCACAAAGACCTGAAAGGAGGAGATAAAGGAAAGAAAAATGGAAAATGAAGAAAATGCTTTTTTCTCTTCGGGTACATTTTATCTTTTGGAAAAATTCAAAACGATGAATAAACTAAGATAAGTTTTCAGCAATGATAAAACCATCAGATGATTTAAAAGTGAAACATCTGAAGAAGCAGAAATTGCGTGAATAGCCCAGAAACTAAGACCAATTAAGCATACGCTGATTGGAACCTAGAGTAAGTGATATAAATCGGACTGGAAAAAGTAGGGTGTGGTCAAATTAGACTGGGAGCATGGAGGAAAAAAACAATTTTGTGAGCAATCCAGTTAGAGTATGTAACATATTTTATACCCTTAGCTAACAAAAGGACTGTAAATTATGTAAATCTAGTGCATTTATTTTGATTATTCTGCAATATGTTGTTTCTTCTTTTCCCAATCTATATAAATTTAAAAAAGCTTTTTCCTTTTGATGTAGATTTCAGATATTTTATATTTATGGTTTCAAGGTATCCTGTTATTTCTCTTCATCAGTTTTCTTCTTCTTTTCATGATATCTCTCATGAAAATGCATTTATTATTTGTAAGTACATTATTAGAGTTTAATTTTTTACTCTCTTCTAACTTAAAATTATATTTTGGTTTCTGTGATAGAGGAAAAAATGATCCTAAGTGCTGACATTCCACTCCCTTCTTAGGGTAAGATTACTCAGCCCTTGTGGTGATGAGTGCAGTAAGTGATAGACATGGCAAGGACAGAGAGCTGGGTATAATAATGATGGGATTGATGAGGTCTAAGGAGCTGTTGAGACAAGAAAGAACCTAGAGGAGTATGGGAGGATTTCAGTGACTGCTGGTGGGAATTGAGGGTGGGGAAAAACTATTTGTATAAGCAATTTTAAGGAAGTTTTGATTGGGGATAAAAAGTGTCACACCTATGACTGAATCCCTTAAAAATTTCCATAAAAGCATCCTGTGTCCATTTGTTGCTCTTACAATCAGATTTGTGGATATGCAAGAGTTTTTCTAATTTACCAGTGTGTTGAGATTGGATTCAAGGTGAGAGGAGAAGATGGCCCAGTTTTATTTGGGTTACTTTTTAAAGAAAAAAAAAATATCATTTTTTGGTGATGAAAACTATAAAAAGAAGACTTTCTATAAAAGAGGGTCATGACAACAGCTATAAAACAGTGTTTTTCTTCTTTAGTCCCTCTTAAATTTCTCATATCATTCTAGGGTTCCAGATTCTGTGCTATTTGATGTGTACTCATGCACTAATCCTCTCAGTTACCATCTGGTTCCACCATTTTTTTTCTTTTCTAGTCAGCTTAGGTGATGTCTTTGATATCATGGCCATCATGTCATAGATGACTACTCAAGTCACCACTGGTGATATCCACCAAGGTGTAGCTGACTCGACCATGCTGCCAAAATCAACTGAAGGTTTTGCCTACTACCTTATGAAGGGAATGCCTCTAAAGGTACCAGGGTACTGCCTACGTTTGATATCATACCATCTCTGACATTTCCAATTCCAGATGTGGCTGCTGGTTGTCCACTGCTCCAACTGTGGAATCCATTCTGTTCCCTTGTGGTTTTTACTTTAGTCCCCTCTCTCTACAACACAGTTATGAGACCATGGTGATAGGACATGCTGGGAGGCAGAGCCAGGCTAGCCTCAGAAATACTCCCTGGTTTGTTCTGGGATCTTTCTTATAGGTCTCAATGTTCTCTTACCTGAGGCCATGTTCTGTCATTAGAGGTGCTTTGGCCCATCACGTGAGGCTCCTCAAGGTCATGTTTAGACTCATCTTAATCTCAGTGTGGAGTTCAGGCCCTCATGTCAGCTAGGTGGATAATAGTTTTCATAGTCCTTTCATTTGTATTTGCTCCTTGGAGAAATAATGCATATATCATTAGGATGATTGGTTTCTGTCTCATACCCAATGAAAATTCTAGTATTGATAGGGAGACGTGCTTGTTTCTGTTATTTAAATATCCATTCATGTATTTATTTGTTGGTTCATTCAACACATATCTAATTAGTAACTACTATATACCAGGGACTGTTCTGGGATTGAGGACAAACCAGTGACCAAGACAGACAAAGTTTTTCCCTTCTTGGAGTTCACCTTCCTGTGGGCAGACAAAAGTAAACCAACATAGTGATTTCAGATAGCAGTAAGTTCTCTGAAGAAATACAACCAGAAAGGGAATTAAGAGTAACGATGGGCATAGGTGTGGGGGGACACTCTTTGAGATAGGGTTATCCCTCAGGGCAGGCCTCTCAGAGTCTCTGAAACACCAAACTTTTAGTCCTTTTACTTGCAGGTAGTCCCTTCTGGGTGTTATCATGAAATGAGCCGGGGAGGTGATTATATCTGTGTGCTGAGGTCAGAGGTATCATTCTTTTTCAATAATTTCAGTTCAGAGTCATTGGCATATAAAAGGAAGGAGACACTGTTTGTTTCAGGAAGAAAAATGGGCTTGACTTTTTTCCATACAGAAGTTATTGGTGTTTCCAGTAGTTTCTTCTGCCCCTCCCCCCACCTCCCAATCTCAGCATGATTTTTACCTTCTTACACCAGCACATACTGCGGCCCTCATTTAACTACATGTAACTGTAATGCAGCATGTTATTCAAATAAACAAATGCACAAGGCATTTTCTCAAAGCTTATATAGTCTTCCTAACTACTTTGTACAGGTGAGTGTCCTAGGTCACAGAGCTAGTAATAGTAATGAGAGCTACTCAGAATGACTACCTGCTATGTGCCGGGACAGCTAAAGTATTTTTACCACATATTTGCTCCAATTTTTCTAGGAGACAAGCATTAGTATGCTCATTATGTTTTGGAGGAAGTTGAGGTTGGAGAGATGAAAAGGTTGTCAAGCCACACAAGTATTGAGCATAATTTTGTGCCTGATTCCCAAACACCATTCATTTTCCATCAAACTATGATCATTCCTAAGGTGAAATCAGGCCTATGTAGGTGACCCCAGAACCTCTATGATCTGAGTCATGGAAGAGCAGCAGGTCCAGAATTCAAACTCAAGTCCCTAGATTGCATCGTATCTAAGAGCATGGGCTGTGGTGGGGGTCACACAGATCTCGGTTTAAATCCCGGCTGCGGAACTTACTAGCAGTGTGACTGTGGGCAATTTATGGAGCCTTTCTGATTCTCAGTTTTCTGATCTATAAGTGGGCATAATAAACACCTACCTCAAAGGATTATTTGGAGGAATTAAATAATGCATATTCTGTTTTTAGAGCAATTTTTGGTGCATATGAAGTTCTCAGTACTTTCTAGCCATTATCATTCCATTTCACTGTGGCAGACCCTACTATTGCCATTCTACAGCCAACCACCCACTTCCATGCAAAGGAAACCACAATTCTCTGTAGCTGTCAAGCAACCACAATACCTGACAGACTTGACCCTCTCCCCATCCCTGGTAGGTAGATCATGATTGGTCTAAGTCAGAAGTTCTCAAAATGTGGTCCGAGGATGAGCAGTATCAATATCACCTGGGGACTTGTTAAAAAAGCACATGTTCAGGGGTGCCTGGGTGGCTTAGCTGGTTAAGCATCTGCCTTTGACTCAGGTCATGATCCCAGGGTCCTGGGATCGAGTCACGCTTCGGGCTCCCTGCTCAGCGGGGAGCCTGCTTCTCCCTTCCCTCTGCTGCTCCACCAGCTTGTGTTCTCTCTCTCTCAAATAAATAAATAAATAAATAAAATCTTTAAAAAAACCACACAAGTTCAGGCTGTACCCAAGATCTACTGAATCAAAAACTCTGGGAATAGAGCCCAGCAATCTGTGTTTTCACAAACCCTCTAGGTGACTCTGTTAAAGCTTAAAAACCACTGATCTAAAACAATCATGATAATCTTATTGCCCTTTCCAATAATTGGGTTAAGCTTGGCCATATGACCCAGTCTTGGTCTATAGGACTTGGGAAGGAGTCAGCTGGGAAGGGGAAGTGTGCTAAAGTTTTCTTTGCACATTTAAAGAGGTGCATTCTTCCTTACAAGATGCTACTTGTGGTGTATGGAACACCTGGAATTATTCTTGCCACTTTGAAACTATGAGGAAGATGTTTCTTAAGAAAGGCAGAGCAGAAAGGTAGAAAGAACTGGGTCTTTGTTAATGCTGCTGAGCTGCCAAATTAGCCAAACTCTGGACTTTCCTTTATGTGCTATAATAAAATTATTGATATGTAAGCTGCTTTTAGTTGGTTTCTTATTTGCAGTTGAAAACAAACTGTCTGATATTCCCACATAACAGTTGTCTTTGTGTAAACCAGGGCTCTCCGAAATGTGCAAAGATTATGGTGCATGGAAAATGTGGGCTTTAATCACAGTCATTATTTATTTAGTTTTCTTTAAAATTATTTATATTTATTTAGTTGTATTGGTGGTGGAGGGGCAAAGCATTCATTTTGTTTTTTTCATTAGACTCAGGACGAACCAAGATGTCAGACAGCTCAATGAAGAGACACTTAGTTGTTCTCATGTGTCTAACGATCCGGATGTTTGGCTTCTGAAAATGAAAACATCGAGAGCATGTTTTCACTTTTCAGCTAGATTTTGGTATCGTCTTGAGACCATTACTAAGAAGAGCCAGGAATAAAGGGTTTATGCAAGAAATAGGATCACCCTAGAGCATCAGTGGCAAGGTATGCTGCCCATCCAGCAATTGCTTCCTTCATGTTTTCAGTCATTCAAAAGAACAGAAATCTGCCGTGTTCGGGATCCTGTGTATTGGGGGGCGGGAGTAGGTATGACTTCATATGTAAGTATTACTTTATAGAAAGGAAGACAGTTTTTGTCTTCCAAGAGCGCATAGTTTAGCAGTGAGCAACTGGTATAATGAAATAAATTGACACAGTAGAGATTGGTAAGGTGTTTGTGGGGGGTGGGAGTGTTTGTGGAGAAGGGAACCACCATTCGTTTCATTATTCAACACATACTCATTGTTGTTTAATGACAAAGATGCTGTTTTAGGCTTTGAGGGTACAGGGATAAGCATTACCAGCTCTGGTCTCTACTCTCATGAAACTTACAGTCTAATGGGAAAAACATGAATGTATAAACACAAAAACACATAGTGATAAATTCAGAGAATGGGATGAAAGGAAAGTACTGTGCTATCAGAGAGAGTAATGGGGTGATGCAGTTTTTGCTTTGGGTGTTCAGGAAAGGACTGTCTGAGGATGTGACATTTAAGTGAAGACCTGAAGGGTGAGTGGGAGTGAACATGATTAAGTTTGGGGGAGGCGGGGGAGGAAAGGTTAGAAGCATCTTCTTACAGGAAGTGGCACTAGAATGGAGTCTCAGAAGTCAAACTGGTGTGGTACCAAATGCCTCTCTCTGTGCACATAGAGAAGTCTGTAAGGAATATACCAAAATGCTAACGGGGTTTTATCTCTGGGTAATGGGATTGTGTCTACTTTTAATTTTCTTGTTTCTGTTTTATTTACTATATTTTTTATATACTTTCTTGTAAGAATAATAATAATAAAGCTACTTTAAAAAAGTAATCCTAAAGAGAAGGAGAGAAAAAGGGTGTTTTCAAATAGGCAATGATGGGGTCAAGGTTTAGGTGTACGTGTCTCTGGCCAGGCAGGGTGGGGGTGGGTGGGTTGTATTGCCAGGCAACAGCTTGCAATGTTTATATAACTGCTCATTACTTGAATGTCTTCTTAATGACTACAGCATGGCAGTGGGGATGGGGGTGAGAGATGGAACAGGAAAGTAGGCAAGAGGTCAGGTCAGGAAGGACCTATGTGGTCAGGAAGAGTTTCAAGTCAATATGGAGTAAGATGATCAGATCTGTTTTTTAGAGACACACCCCTGGTGACAATGGAGAGATTATGTGGAACAATGGTAGTTAGCAGGGTGAGCAACATAGGGCAGGGCAGGGGAATGTTGTTGTTTTTTTTAAGTGGTACATTCAACAGAGTGGCTTCAGCTACTCTTCATGGCTTATTGGTAAATTTGGCGATTCTTGATTGTATGGACCAATGTGGCCGAGTTGAGTGATTAATCATTAGCTTCAGATGATTAATTTAGGACCAGTCTGATGGGGTGCCTGGGTGTCTCAGGTTAAACGTCCAACTCTTGATTTCGGCTCAGGTCATGATCTCAGGGTTGTGAGATCGAGCCTCACGTCTAGCTGCCCACTCAGCAGGGAGTCTGCTTTTCTCCTTCTTCCTCTGCCCAAATGCCTGGTACCAAATGCCTCTATCTGTGCCTGTAAGGAGTATACCAAAATGCTAACAGGGTTTTATCTCTGGGTAATGGGATTGTGTCTACTTTTAATTTTCTTGTTTCTGTTTTGTTTACTATATTTTTTATATACGTTCTTGTAAGAAGAATAATAATAATAAAGCTGGGCGCCTGGGTGGCTCAGTTGGTTAAGCGACTGCCTTCAGCTCAGGTCATGATCCTGGAGTCCCGGGATCGAGTCCCACATCGGGCTCCCTGCTCAGCAAGGGGTCTGCTTCTCCCTCTGACCCTCTTCCCTCTCTTGCTATCTCTCATTCTCTCTCTCTCAAATAAATAAATAAAATCTTAAAAAAATAATAATAATAAAGCTACTTTAAAAAAGGAATCCTAAAGAGAAGGAGAGAAAAAGAGTGTTTTCAAATAGGCAATGATGGGGTCAAGGTTTAGGTGTACGTGTCTCTGGCCAGGCAGGATGGGGGCTCTCTCTCTCTCTCTCAAATAAATAAATAAATCTTTAAAAAAAATTTAAAAAGACCAGTCTGATGCCAAACAACTGGGTGGGTGCAATTTTTTTTTAATGTCTCAGCTGCGTAGTTCTGTGTAGTACAGACTCCCTGTCTCCTTATTATGGTTTTCACCATTTGTCCCCTGTGGGTCTTAGGAGCATCAAGAGCACCTGTCCTTTTCCTACCTTAGTGAGAGATCAGAACAAGGTTGCATCTGTAGAATGATTGATTTCCTCACACACAAATATCACTGAAATATAAACAGTCATTATTATTTTCTCTGATGCCAACTTTTTGTGCAGGTTTTAATTTTTTTTTTTTTTTAAGATTTTATTTATTTATTTGACAGAGAGATAGAGAGAGAACAAGTAGGCAGAGAGGCAGGCAGAGGGAGAGGAAGAAGCAGGCTTCCTGCGGAGCAGGGAGCCTGATGCAGGGCTCGATCCCAGGACCCCAGGATCATGACCTGAGCCGAAGGCAGCCGCTTAACCAACTGAGCCACCCAGGCGCCCCCGTGCAGGTTTTAATTTTGTCTGTTCATTTCAACCAAATCTGAGGTCTCCATGACTACAATAGAAGAACAGAAGGAAAAGAATGGTTCTGTCTCGGAACATCCTAAACGGCATTGTTTATTATAAAATGTGGTTATTTTAAAGGATGCCCACATTTTAAAAGGTGTAATGCTGTTCATATGGTGTTCCAAGCCAGGGACCCATTTTTATGTTCTGGTCGTGGGTGATATGTGAACACATTGGGAAGATATATCAATAAAGACTCGAGAAACAGACTAGAGGATTCATGGCAGAATTCAGATGTGGCGAGATATGTTTATTTACTTAGCTTCTAGGGCAGGGTCTGGGCTCTTCGGGACCTGGGTAATAAGGTCAAATGTGGCCGTGGATTGACATCCAAGTAGTTGTATGAGTTTACATTCCGAATGTCTGAGTAAAAACTCCAAGAAAAACTGTCCTGTTTTCATGCATCATTCATGGGTGTATGGCTAAGCTTCCCAGCATGTTTAGGACATGATGATAAGTTAGCACCTTTTTTTCAAGAGGCAATGAGTGTGTTAGAGGCTTTGCAGTTAGATTTGAGTCCTAGCTAAGCCACTTATTATCTGTGTGAACTTGGACAAGTCCCTTGACATCTAGGCTTAGATTTCCTCACCTGTTAAACGAGAGTAACAAAGCCCACCTTCAGGATTATTGTAGGGAAATAAATAATATTTATAAAGTCCCTGGCATTTAAGAAAGTCTTTAATTGTTGTTCTTACTGTTGTTATTATATGCACTTTTAAGCTGCGGAGAGCTATGCCTGCAGCTACTCAAGAATTTTTTTTTTTTTAAGTAGGCTCCATGCTGGGCTCCAAGCCCCAATGTGGGGCTTGAACTCAAAACCCCGCTTTCGAGACGTGAGCTGAGATCAAGAGTCAGATGCTTAACTGACTGAGCCACCCAGGTACCCTGCTACTTAAGAATTTTTATTTCTAAACAACACAAATGTGAAGTGCCAGAGTGGTGGAAAGCCAAGGAGGAAAATGGTGGGAAGCCGGAGTTAGGGTTTCTTGGTGCTCAAGGAGCTGAGATCCCAGGCTGTGTGCAGCATCTGAAAATTCAGGTAATTTAGCCAATCTCTGGGGCCAGCATGTTCCTGCTGTCAATGCAGATGCCAAGTACTTGGCAGACAGGGGCGTTAGGGGGATCCCTGCCCGCAGCCACATCCCTAAGTTGGGTGGTCCCACAGCTGAAGGTGGGGCCAATGCTGGTTGCCCCCGGTCCACTGAGTAGCTATCTTGATACTTGTCACTGGTGTGTGTCCCCAGCCACTTCCCAGTCCTCCTTTCCTTCCTCCTGGGTCTTGTCCTAGTCAGGTGTTCTGCTTGCAGTCAGGTACCCAGTCTGTGTCCTATTTTGGTTCTCAGCTTAAAGAGAGCAAACCTCTGCAAAGGTATTTGCTGACAAGGTGGGACCCGTGTTATTTGGAAAAGGACTCTCAGACACTGGAAGAATTACATTTTAATGGCAGAACGATAGGCAACAGGTTGACGTTTGAGGTCCGGGGACTCTGTGTCTAGCATTTGTGGTTAGAACACATCATGGTGCGGTGGCCACACTTCCGGCGCAGAAGGCCACTACTTGCTGGACGTCGTGTTTTTAACTCTTACCAGGAGGAGGGAAATAATCAGGGGAAGGCTTCAGTGCAAGGAGGTACTGGCTCATCACCTGTTCACTTCCAGCCTGATGCATTTTGGGCTGACAGTGACTTTAATTGCAGAGCAAGGTGCTTGTGTGATGTACTCCGGGTGCCTCATCCATCTGCTCAAGTCAGGAATCCCACGCAAGGGGGTGTCATGTAAGGGGGTGTTCCCTCTGACTTCCTGATGCCTGTTGCTCTGCATTGCCAGGAAGGTGCTAGGGAGAGGTGCCAGGGAAGGGGGCGAAAAGTACTCTCTGAACATAGAAAATGCTACAGTGGGAGAGTCTTCTCAGGGACCGTCGATTTCTAGGACAATGTGGAAATAATATTACTACTACCTACCTGTTTTGGATCACTTTCTGGTTTTTAGGCTCTGTGTTGAACACTTTTCATGATGTATCGAACACCTGTTGTTTGTGCTTTTCCTGCATTCCTCCTCATCTTCTGGTAATACCACCTGGATTTTTCTCTTGGGACTCACCCAGTGTATGTGATCTTTGGGGACCTGTTTTATCACCTCCTCTTCACCCCATTGGTGATGGTTATAGGGATAGCCAGACGCATGACACCTGGCACTGGACAGATGGGATTGACAGCAGTTTCTTAGTCATATATACTCAGTGAGAAGGAAGAGACTGCATGTCACACAGAGCCACATGGGGATTGCCCTTGGGAGTAGAGTAAACCAGCAGGGGCTGTGGGAGGCAGACTTCATAGTATCAAGAGGACAAGGTGGCCCTTGGTTC